AGCAGGTCTTGAAATTGCACATCACTCAGCCTAATCCAAGTTGATGGCAAAGTATCTTAAATGTAGTGCATAAAGTTCATTTATGAGAACAAACCCACCAATAGGCTCAGCGAATTCTACTTAGGAAGAGTAAAACACTATCTACTCCTTCCCACCACCTGCTGCACTACATCTCTAACTATTCTTTTGTCTGGTGTTTAAGGTAAAAGATAATTGGATCTCGGTTCTGAACTCTCAGGGTGGGATGCAAACACACGTAGTGACCAGCATTCTGCCTCTGTGAGAGGACTATAATCTGAAGAGCTACCGCTGAGCTTATGCATTGCAAAGAGGGTCTTCTCCTCCCTCTGTCTTTCTGAGGAAATTGAGTAGAAAAGCCCAGTTCACAGGAAGGATCATGCAAAGCCACTTTTCAAAGCAATGAGTACATTGATGCTCTTGAATGACTTTGTTTCAGAACTTCAGATCAAGCAGATTTTTAACATTGGAAATATACCACTTTTACTATTTTGGGACAGGGGCTGTTGCATATATATGTTCATTAGATCAAAAGTAACTCATTTAGCAAAAGTATTAGAAATTCCTAAACATATTTAGGTTTGCCAGCATAGTTTCAAGATATAATAGTGAAAGTGGGGAGAGAGAGAGAATGAGAAAAGTGCCCATGTGCTTACATATGCGCATGCATATTTATGTGAGTGCCTATATATTACTCTGTGGACACAAACTGGTCCATTTGCAAACAGCCATCCTATCAGCCTCCCCCGTTTAGCCAAATCCAAAGAAAAACTTGTTTCTTTGTTCAGCCTTTAAAAGCTGGTTTCTTTTTAAAAATTACATATGTTACATATATTCATTTGATAGAGGTCCAAAGGCACACTAAATTCAACCTCTTTTAAATTAGCTTCAGGAAAAAAAAAAGCTTTATTAATGTGTTAAAAGTAAGCTGGCTAAGATAATTCAGGAAGACTTTGTCAAGGCCTCTGAGGAAGACTGACACTGAACTGGGCATCACTTTTATTGCTC